CATCATGATTCTTTTAAATTAGAATTCTTTTAAAAAAGGATTTTAAAAAATTATTTAATTATGTGTATGTGTATGTGGGTATGTGCACATGAACGCAGGGACCTGTGGAGGCCTGAGGCATCCTGTTCCATGGAGGTGGAGTTATAGGTCATTGTGAGCTACTTGATGTATGTTCTGGGAACCGCGCTCAGGTCCCCTCCAAGAGCAGTAAGTGCTTTTTAAGTATTGAGCCGTTTCTCCAGCCTCAGTATTAGAATTCTTAAAAAAAAAAAAAAAATCATCCATCCACAACATGCAAATCCGACGACAGCAGAGCTGCCTTGGTATAGGGATGGGAGTTCTGTGGGTTTGAACCCTCTCTAGTTTCTCTGAGACAGTTTGACTGCACCCCATTTCCTTGTATTAGCTGTGTGTCCAGCTTCTGCTCCATGTTGAGGGAAGGATTCTGACCTGACTCCTGGGATTTTTGTGCTCACCTCTCTTACGTGATATTCTTGCCAGTCTTTCTCACCAAGGACTATGACCTATTTACTTTCTTCTTTGATCTCTCTCTCTCTCTCTCTGGCAATGCTGGGGATTGAACCTAGGGCTTTGTACTTGTTAGGTAAGTTCTCAACCACTGAGCCACGTCCCCAGCTCTCAGTGTTTTGAGACAGAGTCTTGCTACGTTGCTCAGATAGGCCTTGAACTTTGGAACCTCCTGTCTTTGCTCGTGAATTCTGTGATGACAGGTGTAGACCGCCATCCTTGGGTTATCTTTCATTTGCAATGTAGTAACGATTCAGTAAAGGATGAATGAATCAACCTGGTTTGAGTACCTCTGGTGCAGAGGCTTATGGAGTCCCTTGTTTTCCTGCATACGTGGGAACTGGCGGATGGGATGGACTGACTGTTGATTTTGATCTTGTGTAACTTTACTGGAAGGGTTTGAGGTGAAGGTACAGAAGAGCACTGATGTAAAGAAAAAAGGCACACCTAACTGACAGTTGTTTGTACATGGCAACCTTGGCTGACTTGGTGACTTTCTCACCTGCCGGGTGAGCTGCACCCCCAGGTTGTACGTCTGTTGAGACAGGGAGAAGTACATTATGAAAATTGAATTTGGTTGATGATTAAGTTTAAAACACATTTCCCTGTTTAATATCAATGTCATTACCTTGAACATCTTCTTTGAGGACAGTTGCCTTGGATAGGGACAGCTGAGGCACACGGAGGCTATAGAGGCAATCACCCACTTAACATGCACTACTCAGTCTTTGTGAAATATCACCCCTGATGCTGAGTGCTTATCTTTTATGGAACAGCTTGCAAATCCTAATTGTTTTAAACTGACTCTGAGGAAAAGAGATTTGAGAATCAATAAATCACAGCTCTCATACATACAAATGTGCCTCATTACAATGAAGACAATCTGATGGCTCTTTAGGTCAAATAACAAAAGGGGCGGACTTGAGTTTATGAAGGCTCGCTTCAATCTTCTTACTGCAAGGCTTGAATGCGATCTTCTCTCTCTGGTCCCAGTGTCCAGGGCTGCATATGGACATTTGTTTAGATAGCATGAATTGACGAGGGTTCATTGCTTGCATGGTGGTTGTATGTCTTCTTTATAAGGCTCATTAAGGCAGAAACAATGATATTTATATCTTTAAGTATCGATGTGTTGGGAGCAGCTAAATAAACTATTCTAAGAACTGTGCCAGCAGCTATTCAAACACAGCATTCTCTACGATTTTATAGACTCCTACCCAAGGTCACCCATCTCAGTCCTCTCTTGAGTCTTGGACATGCTCATGTCTAAAAAGCAAATACTAGCTTCTTGCCGGAGAGCAGTTTTGTTGCACAGGAAGGTGGTGGTAAGGTGCAGAAGAGTAATTCTGTTTTTCCTGAAGGAAATGCTTTTCTCACCCTCAGCCAGAATTTCGGTGACTCAGTTTCCTTAAGTTGTTCTTCACATTTGACCGTTCATTTTTTTCTGCCATCGTGTGTCATGGTAAAATTTCTTGTAATGATGAAAATGGATTTTTCATTCAACTAAATTTTTTTTCCTTTGCATTTTAAAAACAACGACAACGAAAACTTTCCCTGGGCCCACACAGATGTTTTTCTGCCTGTCTTAGTGCTTCTTTGAGCATCAGATTACAATACTGACTGTGTGTCACTCAGGAACCATTCCTAATTTGTCCTCCAAAGCGGCATTTGATCACAGTAAGCCGTGTCTGTCCACATGCATGTTTCACACAGTGCTTTGATATGTGTGTGCATTCCGGCATTTGGATTGTAAGCCAGTTTAAAATAACTGACCTTCCGCAAAACTACAAAGGACTATACAGCATGAAAAAGTTTCTTTTAGCTCACAAGTCAGGGTAAGTGGTTCTGGAGCTGGAGTGGAATGTAGAGGCAGCCCCTGTGAACTGGGCCTTTTGCTCATCCCTCGGTGAGAGCTAATGAAGTGGTCTGACCTGGGAAGGTTCCAGGAACTAGGAGGTGAGGTCAGGAAGTTGTCAAGCATGAAACGGAAGCAAGTACCAAGGAAAAGAGAGCTCTGAGGATGTAGGATGTTGAATTCCTTTCCGTGTTATCAGCTTCTTAGTCTGCTGTCTTTGAAGGTGGTCTTTGTATTTCTTTTGAAGTATATATTTATATTTCCTCCTGATTATTTATTAACAAATTCATAATTGAGAATTCATAAAAGATAGGAGAATAGAAGTTTAGAAGAATACAAATTGGCAATAAACTTCTGAGAGTAAATATACCTTGAGAGAGTAATTTGTTCCTTTATTATCCTTCCCATTCCTGTGCTTCTAAATTTACATTCTGGTAATTTTGTGTACATACCCAGAAAACAGAACATTTATTACAAAACTGGAACTCATACTTTACCCTTGCTTTTCACTAATTTTTCTTTGGAACCAGAACCAATCTTCCTTCCTTCCTTCCTTCCTTCCTTCCTTCCTTCCTTCCTTCCTTCCTTCCTTCCTCCTCCTTCTCCTTTTCCTCCTCCTCTTTTTCTTCTTATTTGTTTTGTCATCCCAAAGTCCCCCTGCCGTGCCCCCCCCCCCCCAATCCATGCCTTCTCTATTGTTTCTCTTCAGATACAGGCCGGCCTCCCATGCATACCAGACCATGGTGTATCAGGTTGCAGTGAGACTAGGCGAATTCTCTTCTCTTAAGGCTGAGTGAGACAGTCCGGTAGGGGAGATGGGTCCCCAAAGCAGGTAACACAGTCAGAGAGCCCCTGCTCTCACCCTTAGGAGTCTCACCGAAGACCGAGTTACACAACTGTAACATATGTGCATAAGGCCTGGGTCAGTCCCATGAAGTCCCAGTCTCTGGTTGTCTGTTCAGTCGCTGTGAGCCTCTGTGAGGTCTGTGAGGCCAAGTTAGTTGGGAAACAGAATTTTTAATGGCTATTTACTGTCCCATTGTAGAGTCCCATTGTATAGTAACAGCTGTCCCACTGGATGTTCTGTGTTTGACCCATTCTCTTTTATTTTGAAATTCATGTCATTTTCATTTTCTCCTTAACATACCTTCACAGTAAATATTTTTACATGCAGATTTTCAGTTGAGTTTTGTTTAGGGGTCATTTTTGGATGTATAATTACTAGGTCAAAGGTGCAAACAGTTCTTGGCAGATAGCTCCCTGTTAGCAGCCAGACAGGCACTATCAATTTGCACATTCCCATTAGACAAGTTTAGGAGTACTTTCTCCTGAGACCCAGCTATCCACAGACATTACTGTGTATGGAAACAGCAGGACGGGAAGACATCGTCTTGGTTTAATTTAAAATTCTTAGACTATTTTGTTGAATTTTTTTCTTGCATCTGTGTATTTGTTTTCTTTTGTGACCATTCTCAGTGTGTTTGTCAACATAAGATGAGTCCGACTCTTACACATTGGCTAGTTTCACCAAGGAGAAAAGTTTTTGGAGTAAACTGTCTTTAATGCCAGTGATCTTAAGATATAGCACACTTAAAAGCTATGTTTAAACTGTAGCATAACATAATATATTGTTAATGATGAATACAGAACATATAATTGCCATTGCTTTGTGCTTTTCTCTTTGGGGTCTAGAACTGTTTTCATGGCCACTATACATCCACCCTAGCTTTAAAGAAATGTTACTAAAATAAAATTACACCATTCCCCTCCATTCCCAATTCCCTTTCCTTCTTCCCGCTCCTCTCATGTCCTGCTCACCCCACTCCCTCCCTCTCAAGTTCATGGTTTCGTCCTCTTTGCTATTGTTACACACACAGAGAGACATACAAAGACACACACAGGGACACACACACACACACACACACACACACACACACACACATGCACACACGCACACACGCACACACGCACACCCCCCAATAGCCTACTGAGTCCATTCAGTGTTGTTTGCATGTTCATGATTTCAGTGCCGACCACTTGGTATTGGATAACCGATTGGGGGCTCCTCCCTGGGGGAAGACTACTTTTCTTAGTCTCAGCATGCCTTGTAGGTTTTTGCCTGAGTTGGCACCTGTGAGATTTCCTTTGTCCGCGTTAGCATGTCTACTGTCTACCCTTGCTTTTGACATATGTGCACACCTCTTGCCAACTTCAGTGGCGAGGGTTTTCTTTGTTTTCCTCTTTCCCCATCAACTCCATGACTAGAGAATTGTTTTGTTTTTTTTTTTTGGCCCATGATAGATTATTGTCTTTTGGTAATATTGTATTGTTGGCACAAGGCTGTTTTCTGTATTATGGCACTGAGAATTAGGCTTCCACTCATGTTTGCTATGGGAGTCATTCTTAACCTTTTTTATCGTTAGTAATAGTGGAAGGAAGTGCCAAGTTTTATCAGCAATGAAATGATCTATTTATATAATTCTGTTCTTCTTTTAGTTCACTATTTGTGAAGTTTAGGTAATAAAAAGTACGTAGAGGGTTGCCAAATGTTCATATGCTTTAGAAAAACCATGCAATTTCTCAGTACTTATCCTCTTAAATATTGATACCTCTGCAGGAGTTCCACCAGATGCAGGAGTCTGACCAGCTCTCATTGCTCAAAGTAATTGAAATTAATAGCAGAAGACTTAGAGTGCACCCGGGAAGCTCATGCCAAAAACTGATTCTATCTTATTGAAAGTATGTAATCCTAGCTGGGGTAAGTGATAGGACTTTTTCTTCTGTGTTATGTCATGGTAACAGGTAATTTAATGTTCTCTTAACTTCATCTAATTCTACTATGATTTTCTGTTATGAGATAAATTCACATATCCTGATCAGTCAGTTGTTAATGTATGTTAGTCATGGTGCAAAGTCATATAAAAGACTTCGAGAAACCTCTGCCAGTGTTAAAAGTATAAATGTACGGTGTAGAGTTTCCACATGAAGTCATGTTGTCTGTCTTCCTTGGAGGGTTGGGGCAGACATAATACTGAATGAGTGGAAGATGATTTGAGAGAGTCCTGAGATTTTATTTACAATATAATCTTCTAAATGTTTTATTTTAAATGTTGCAAGCACATTCTGTTGTTATTTGTCATTACTGATAATTAGTTCTAGGGGTGTGTCTATGCAGCTTTACTATATTATTCTCTGTACTAACTATTTTAACCATTTTCCCAAATAGTCCACTTTGGTGGGCAGTCTCCTCCATTTCTTGATGGACAGGCAGCAGAGAAAGAAGGAATACAGGAAGGGACCATACTAAAGGCATTCTCAGCTCACCCATTTCCTCCAACTACTTCTTCCCTCTTAGCCTTTATCACATCCCAACAATGTCATTATAAGATTATTAGGAAATTAATCCATTAACTATTAGGTCAGAAGTCTTCATAATCTTATTGTTTCTGGAAATAATATCCCAGACACACCCAGAACTTCTCTAAAGCCCCAGGTATTTATTAATCTAATCAAATTTTCACTTAGAATTAACCATCATGGATATCTTTGTATGAACTTCTTTTTTATGTGTGGGGTGAGGGTGGGGTGGGGCCTTAAACAGTTGTGACCCAGGAAAGGCAAAGCCAAACAGTTACTTCAGTACTATTTCTTGTTTATGTTTTCTGTTGTGGGACGGAGCCCATCATGGGCACCTTTGTGCTTATATCCAGGAGGCAAAGACCTGAGAAGCTGGTATAGGAGGAAGCTGAGGGGCATGGGTATGTGAGAGATGTATGGCATTTACAGGGTGTTCAGTAGCTCTTTCTCAGTTTGTGTTATGGATTCTTTTTCTGAAGTGGCGAAGATAGACTGTAATTTAATTTTGAAAAAAATCTAAATTACTGGCAAAGGTCCTTTATCTTCTCTAGAGACATGATTATGCACTTCAAGATGCAATAAAAAAATAAAGGTCCAAAAGACCCAGAATATTCTGTCATGAAAGAAAAATTTGATCACACTGTACAGAATAAGCCAGGAAAAAATGTCTGTATAGATTTAAGGACTATTACAGTGGTTTATATTAAAGACTGAGTTAACCCTCATTAAACAGAAGATGAAATTATTGGAATACTACTCAATAAGCTCTTGCATTTGATCAACTTAGTTTTCTCCGGTGCTGTTTTGTTCTAAAGGTAGTGGGTTTCTCTAACTTCTATTAATAATTTTCTGAAATGAGATTTTCTTGCACAAATAATTTTTTGTATGAATCAAATAGACAAAATTGAGGTAAAGGTGGGAGAAAAGCATGTTTACAGAATTTCCCATTGCTGAAAGTACATTCTGGAAGGTAGGCTTTCTGTTTTGTTGGAGATGTTGAAGCCAGCATCTTCTTATAAATGTGTTATTGTAAAATTTGTGTCTGCATCACATCATTTGCTTAATGCTCCAATTTTAAATTAGGCTGTAGGAGAGTTTTCATTCTGCCACACACTGGAATTTTATTATAGTTCCTACAGGGACTCTGCCATATTTTTATGTTTAGAGGTACTTCTTATAGCTTAGAAAGGATAACAGACTACTGTTAATAACTGAAGGATTTATTTATTTATTTTTGCATGTGTATGTGGTGTGTCATGTGTGTGGGTGCATGTGAACATGTGGGGGTGTGTGCACCTGCATGACTGTGCACACAGAGGGCAGACGTTGGACATCCCTTGATCTATGCTTTCTTCAATTGCTCTGCACCTTATATTTTGAGGTAGGGTCGTTTCAACCCGGAGCTTACGGATTAGGTTAGCTACCTAGCTTGTTCTGGGGTTCCTCTGCTCCCAACTACCCAGGATTACTTTGATGGTGGAGGTCAAAATTGAGTCACCTCCTTTGCTGTATAGATCTTCAGAGGATGTTTTGGTTTGCCGTGGACAGAGTGGCTGACAGTGCTGTGAAACATTGTATAGGAAAGTACTTTTAATCCTGGCAGCGGAACACACATCTTAGGAAGTGGTACTCGGAGTTGATAACTCACTGCAGCCGCGTGGGAGCAGTTTTCTGAGTAGAGCAAGCCATGGCAGCAGCAGTACACCAGAAGTGACAGTCTCTGTTTTCTTGTGTGTCTGTTTGCTGGAAGACTAATGCAGTAAATACTTCAAACTACCAGAAAGTAAGCAGGGGGCTCCACATTTCTGTGTTTGTTACTTGATTGACACTGACTTGGATTTCTTTTGAAGGATTTGTGTACATCAATGGCAGAATCATCCAGTGATTCAGACCACTTCCGCTATCGTAACCGATTTAGTCGATGGGCAACCAGGACAGTTCAAAGGGGAACTGGAGGTCATCCTACAGCAGATGTCACTGCGAAGGTCAACACTATAACCAGTACTTTACAGGTTAGTTTGACAGTGGTTACGGGCTTCTGACTAGTCGGAGCCGAGTAACGGTCTAGCCAGTATACTGTTCTATTTTAGTACTGTGATAACTGACCCTCAGGTAAATGCATTAAAACAACCAAGTTTTTTATCTCGTGGTTCTGTAGGTCAGAAGAAAAAAAATTCTGTTCCTTTTCCCTTTGTAGCTGCTCATGTATCTTGTCTTGGGATTCTCTTCCCAATCTTCAAAGCTAGCTATCATGGTGGATCTTCCTTCTGTTGCATCTCTTTGGCTGGCTATATCCTCCTTTCTGTCTCCCTCTTCCTTTTGTTGCTGATGTTTTTTTTTTTTTTTTTTTCTGGTATATTAGAGTTCCAAGCCAAGGTCATGCACTAGCTGTGTAAGTGCTCTTACCGCCGAGCCACAGTGTCAGACACCGTACCTCTTTTTTTTTTGGGTTTTTCAAGACAGGGTTTCTCTGTGTAGTTTTGGTGCCTGTCCTGGATCTCGCTCTGTAGACCAAGCTGGCCTCAAACTCACAAAGATCCTCCTGCCTCTGCCTCCCGAGCGATGGGATTAAAGGCATGTACCACCACTGCCTGGCCGTACTTTAAGGACACTTGTGATTTCATCCTGTTCTCTCAGCAATCCAGGAGAAACTCCCCTCTAGGTGTTTAGTTACAACTACACAATCCCTTTTGACATATAAGTTTCATAGGCATAATTCTAGCAACTAGGACTCAGAAGTTGATGAGGACCATTAGTCTGGTTACCATGATGATGATACCCGAACTATCTGATAGGTTGTTGAGAATGTTTTAGGATACAACTGTATTTGCAAATAAAAAATTATGGGAGTAAAAATAGTGGTGAGCACAGATGTTTACCTTCCTGTATACTTGTGTCCATTAGAGTTTTGGGGAAGCAGATTATCAGTGGATGACCAATAGGTATAGAGATGCCATTTTGGTTTTGAAGGAAATTTCTGATAGTGTTTGGAAGTTTGAATGGGTACAGCATGATCATTTCCATATGAAGAGCTTGGAAAGGTCATAGGATATATAGTGTGGGAAACAAACCCAGAAACAATTATTTCCAGCTGATTAATCCCTTGCTTTTGCATAGCCCATATAAACAGGAAATTTGGCTTTGAGTTGCTTTGGATTAGTATGCTTGAGGGGAAGAGAGTAATTTTTGGAGGAATGATTTTACATGAGAGTACCAGCACCTATTCTTTGTAAATTTATTTAAGCTAGCATAACAATGGAATTTTAGCGTTTGACTCCTTCCTTTTCTTATACTTACCCTATGTTCTTGAAGCATAGCCCATCCTGGCCTATAGCTTGCTGTGCACATTGTCCACCCTGCTAACTCTTGATACTCCAGATTGCTTTGCTATAAAGAACAGTGTGCAGTACAAAGCACACACATTTCTGAAGAGGATTCCTCTCCATTTGTGCTTTCATTGCCAACTTATTGGGGGACCTTGGATAAGGACTTGTAAATTGAATACTTCAGAATTTACATAAATAAATTGTGGGTGGATTTGGAATTCTCTCAGAGTGTTGTAGTGATTTGATGTGCATGAAGTTTGTTGATATCCAGGTTACCTGGCATAAATTGTACTTTTTACAACGTGTCTTTTAAATAATGTTGATTTAGGTTCTCTGACAATACTAAAATTGTTTGGGATGATTGAGTATTTTCTTTCTCAAGGACACCAGCCGGAACCTACAACAAGTGGATGAGATGCTTGGACGATATCGAGAATATAGCATTGGACATGCGGGTGCTATTGAACAGGTGAGGATGTTTCAGTTTGCACTGTGTACTTAACCTTATGGAAATGAATATTTAGGGGAGAGGAAATATAAAGACGACAAGTAGATAATGATGTGAATAAGCCTACATTTTAAACAGTCTTACTGTTTTCAGTTTAAATTTAGTAAAAGAACTCAGATTTACAACTTGGATTCAACTTAGCTTGAAAGATTTAGTCATAGAAGGGAGAACTCAGGATACAAACTAGGGTTGCTGAAGTTGGGCCATAAATACCACTCAGAAGGGGATAGAAATTTTGAAGATTTTTTTTTTAAATTACACATTTGTTACCATTATTATTTCTTAAGATTTAATTATGTTTATATTATGAGTGTTTTGTCTGCATGTATGTATATGTATCACATTCATACAGGACCTGTGAAGGCTAGAAGAGGGCATCAGGTCACCTGGAGCTGGAGTTCCAGCCAGTTATGAGCCACCTAATGTGGGTACTGGGAACTGAACTTAGCTCCTCTGTGATAACGTCAATTACTCTTGACCTCAGAGGCATCTCTTCAGCCCTATGTTCATTATTTTAAAAAGTAAAACTTTCAAAGCCCCTATAAGTTCTACTCCACACAGGTAACACTTTTGATAATTTCTTGTTTGTTATTCCAAATACTTTGTATACTTTTATGTGAATATACCGTATTGCTTTAAGAAGTGGAACAGTACAACATATGTACACGTTTTTGTTCTGTTGCTATCCACACAACTTTGTGTGGGTAGACCTCTATGATGGTTGGGTTTAACTGTCAACTAGATACAACTGTGATCACCTAGGAAGAGAAACTCGATGTGGCATTGACTAGATCAGGTCAAACTGTGGGCACACCCATGGGATCGACTAGATCAGGTCAAACTGTGGGCACACCCATGGGATCGACTAGATCAGGTCAAACTGTGGGCACACCTGTGGGGTTGACTAGATCAGGTCGGACTGTGGGCACACCTGTGGGGTTGACTAGATCAGGTTGGACTGTGGGCACACCTGTGGGGTTGACTAGATCACGTTGGACTGTGGGCACACCTGTGAGGAATTTTCTTAATTGCCTTAGTTGATGTGGAAAGACCCAGCCCACTGTGAGCAGCACCAGTTTATGGACTTGTTTTCCTGGACTATATAAGAGAAGGGAAAGCGGCTGAGTGCAAGCAAGCAAATGAGTTTACACCCGTATGTTTTTCTCTGCTCTTGATTGTGGTTGTGGTGAGAGAGGCTACTTCAGACTCCTGCGGCTTCTGTAACTTCTTTGCAGTGATGTCCTATGACCTGGATTGTTATCTAAAATAAACCCTTTCTACCTCAAAATGTTCCTTTCTCTCTCTCTCTCTCTCTCTCTCTCTCTCTCTCTCTCTCTCTCTCTCTCTCTCTCTCTCTTTGTTTGTTTTTCAGGCAGGATATTTTATCACAGCATCAGAAATAAAACTACCATAACCTCCTTTTGAACAGTTGTCTAATATTCTGTAGTATGGATGTGTCAAGGGTTTCCTTTCATATGGAGAATATAGTAATGACTCTCTCTGTATGTGTGTTTGTATGTATTTGTGTAACCCTGTAGGAATTCTGGAAATAAGATTGATGGGTTAAAGAATATGTGTACTTATGTGTTTGCTACATATTTCAAAAATTGCCAATCAAAGATCAGCCAATTTATGTTTAGTTCAGATGTGGTGTAAGAAGGAAAGATTCTTCAGACTTTAAGAATGAAGTTAGCATTTCTATTAATGTTTTGCTAGATTCTCTGTGGTTTTTGAGGGAGAAGGTGTGGAAAGTAAAAGATTGTTTACATTTTATATTGTATTTAAGCTTAGTGAAGGAAATCAGATAATCAATTAACTTATGTACCCTAACCCTAACCCATTAGGTCCTTGAGAAATTACTTGCTCACCTTTAGAAACCCAGTTAGATCTATTTCTTTTTTTTGAAGGGAGGAGCAGTACACATTGTAACAAGAAGGATTTGCATTTATACAGTAATGGTTTATATATATCTGTGCTGTATCCACTGTTGCATAATTCCCAAGCTGTAATCGATGACTTGTTTTCATCTTACAAAGCAGAACTGTAGTTGTTATTATTTGCTTGTGATTGGAAGCTAATTGAGCACAAGGAAATGCATCATCTCCGGTAAAGGTCTGTCCTACTTTCATTTAGGAAACAAGTGTGGACATTTTTGCACCTACAGGATTTTTATGCTTTATGATGTATTTAACTTCATGTATGTAGTTCACAAACTGTTAGGTTAACTACTTTATTAATAATAGAGTTTTCTGCTTTTTAATTTATTTGTGAAAATTGGAACATTATTATTTACTAAAAAAAAAAAAAAGTCCTACTTTGTCACTGCTGTCCTTATGGCAGCAGCTTGAGTTGAATATTGCTGAACTCTTTAGAGTGACAAGTCGAACCAACAGGTGTTGTTTCCAGCCACTCTTAAAAAAAAGACCTGGGAGAGCAAGAGTCTTTCCTATGGCTCTCCCCTGGCCTGCTCTGGTTTCCCTCTCTGGCTTCCTTATACTCTTGTTCTGTTCTGCAGTTGTTGGTACAGATTTTTCATTCTCACACATCCATGGGTGATGGCACTAATTGCTCTATGTTTGAGCTACTCAGGGGAGCAGCAATTTTCTTCTGCTCCTTACAAATTATCCAGAGAGGGAAGACAGGCAGCTGAGAGTTTCTCATGAATGGTTCTGATGGCTTCTTATTGACAGCTGATTGTAATACCAGATGCTATAAGTTATGTGTGCTATGGCACCACATCATTTACCTGGGTCTTTTTACTTAGAATCTTTAAGTCCTCAAAGTATCTGGTAAAATGGTCCATCTTTAAAAAAAGCCCAATTATTAAGTTGTGTGTGTGTGTATGTATGTGTGTAACTTGGTATGTGTTTGGGTAAACGTGTGTGTGTGTGTGTGTGTGTGTGTGTGTGTGTGTGTGTGTGTGTGTGTGTGTGTATAAGCCAAATGTCATCCTTTAGTGTTGGTCCTCAGGAACTGACTATCTTTTTGAGACAAGGTCTCTCACTAGGACCTGGGGCTCACAGATTATACTGGCTGGCTGACCAGCAAGTCTCTGGGATTTACTGGTCTCCATCTTTCCTGGTTGAAATTACAGTTATGATAATTCCACCATACTGTGGTTTCATGTGGGTGCTGGGAATTGGATTCAGTTTCTGATGCTCACATGGCAAACACTTTAGCAGCCAAGCTGCTTCTCCATCCTTCCTGTTCCTGTCTTTTTAAAAATTACATTTTATTGGGACTGGAACAATAGCTCAGTGCTTATAAGACCACTTGCTGCTCTTCCAGAGGACCTGAGTTCAGTTCTCAGCACACACGGCAGCTCAAAGCCATCTGTAACTATAGTTGCAGAGGATCTAACGCCCCCTTCTGGCCTTTGTGGGCACTAGGCATGCACATGACGCACATACCTACAGGGAAAACACTCGTACCCATAAAATAAAAAGAAATAAATCTTAAAAAAATTACATTTTATTTCTTCAGTGTGTGTTTTTGTGTGTGTGTGTGTGTGTGTGTGTGTGTGTGTGTGTGTGTGTGTGTGCATACACCTGTACATGCCCCTTAATATGTGTGTTGAAATCAGGACAAGTTGCAGGAATAGATCTTTCCTTTAACTGTGTAGGTTCCAGGGATGGACTTGGGCTATCAGGCTTGGTGACAAAGTGCTTTTACTGGCTGAGCCACCTCACCAGCCACTGGAACATGCTTTTTTACTCATATATGCTTCATAATAGAATAATATATTTTAGCCAGTAATAGTTCAACCGTTAAAAAATTTCACCATGGTGAATATCCATTGCCTACTTGAATTAGCATTTTTCTTTTAAAATATAAAGAGACTTCTTAGAAAACAGAATGAACTCTTTTGCCTTAGGGAAGACAGGGACTCTTATTATTAACTTAGATTTTATAAATGATTATTGTTAACCTGCAGTAAATGGATATGTAGTTTGTATGTTTAAATATTTAGTTGTTGTTATTTTAACTGTGAGAACATAATTTATCAATGGGTAAGGGGAACAGTTTGGAAATATGAATATCTGCTGTGATGTTTTTCTCCTGAGTTAATTTCTCCTAACAAGGGAGCTACAGTGAGTATCCATTTTGGTCTTTTAAAGCCTATGGTTGCTTAGGCTTTTTTTTCCCCTCGGAACATTCTGTATATAACTATTGTTCCCTTGACTCTTTATACTCTCCAACCCCAAGTTTATTTTTTATCTCATTTTAAAATTTAACTTGCTTATATTGACTTACCAAGTGTTGGGTTCCTCTGGGTCCTTTTCACACATGATGCACTTGGACACTCAGCCCGTCCATGTAGCTAGAGTTTTCCTGCCTGGCCCACGGTCAGGACAAATCTCTCTCACCTGCCAGTCCCACAGCCGCTCAGACCCGACCAAGTAAACACAGAGACTTATATTGGTTACAAACTGTATGGCCGTGGCAGGCTTCTTGCTAACTGTTCTTACAGCTTAAATTAATCCATTACCATTAATCTATACCTTGCCACATGGCTCGTGGCTTACCGGCATCTTCACATGCTGTTTGTCATCGTGGCGGCTGGCAGTGTCTCTCTGACTCAGCCTTCCACTTCCCAGCTTTATTCTCCTCCTTGTCCCGCCTACACTTCCTGCCTAGCCAATGGCCAATCAGTGTTTTATTTATTGACTAATTAGCAACACATTTGCCATACAGAACATCCCACAGCACGTCCACCCATTCCTGCCTTTATCTTCTCTTCCCTTGACTCTGCTCTTCTTTTCTCAAATAGTTTTTCTTCTATTTTCATGTCATTTAGTCCGTCCGAGTCAGGCTTAATTTGCTTTTCGTGGTGATCTCCATTTTCCTGCAAATGATATGCCTTCATTTTTCTTCATGGCTGGATAATATACTGCATTGCATGCATATGTGCATATATGTACATAGGCATTTATGATATAGATTATGTTTTCTTGATCATC